GTACCGAATCCCGAAACCTCAAAGCTCAGAAAGCCTCCAGGGCTTAGGCTTGAGGGTTCTGGCACCGAAAAAGCCCCCAACAAGCGAAAAGCCATAAACCCTCCATGAAGCCTCAAAGGGCCCCAGAGCCTCAGAGGCCCCAAACCCCAAGAAGTTTGGATCCTAGCTCCGCGAGCCCGAGCTCCTCTAAGAACCCTGGCTCTTGGACCTAAGCCTATGATTCCTTTGAGCCTCTAAATTCCTAGACCCTAAACCCCAAAGGCCCTAAATCCCTAGACCCTCAAAGCCCGAAATCCCTGACTTCTAAACCATAAATCCCTAGTTCCCTAGCTCTAAACATAAGCCTCTAGATCCCGAACTCCTAAGCCCTGTAGGTCTGTTCCCCGAAATCCTAGAACCACCCAAACAAATCGAAAAGCATGAACCTAAGAATATCTACACAAATAAACCAGAAACAGGAACCTAAACCCTAAACCCCAAACCCCTTAGCCGAAAACCCCCCCACACCCTAAACCCCATAAGCCCTTAAGGCCCCCTCAACCCCCTAAGCCCCCTAAAGCCTGCCGAGGCGGGATGGTGGCCGAGAGCTCCTACGGAGCGACGACGAGCCAAGCCTGGAGGCCGTCCTGGAAGCTCGTAGCATAGGGCTCTTAAGAATTAGAATAGGGTTCCTTTAAAGGGTTGCTTAAAGGGTTCTATAAGGGCTACAATAAGGGTTTAGGGTATAGGGCCCTTAAGAATTAGAATAGGGTTTTGGGGTTCCCTTAAGGGTTCCTTACTATAAGGGTCTAGGGTCTAGGGTATAGGGCTCTGAATAATTAGAATAGTGTTCCTTAAAGGGTTCTGTAAGGGCTACCATAAGGGTTCAGGGTATAGGGCTCTTAAGAATTAGAATAGGGTTTTTGGGGTTCTTGAAGGGTTCCTTGAAGGGTTCTGTAATGCCTACTATAAGGGTTTAGGGTATAGGGGTCTTAATAATTGGAATAGGGTTCCTTAAAGGGTTCTATAAGGGCTACTATAGGTGTTTAGGGTGTAGGTGTCTTGATAATTAGACTAGGGTTTTGGGGGGTATAGTATGCCAAAAATCATAATATGGAGCCACCAAAATGGTAGAGGTAATTATTGAGGCCCCTACATTAGGGGGATTCAAGCTTAGGGTGTAGAAAACCAAAAGCGTTTCGGCCCTAAACCCTAAACGTTCAGGGTTTTGAGTCCGGAGGGGATGAAGGTTCAGGATGGAGGGTTTAACTTTGGGTTGCGGGTCTAGAGGGTTTTTTAGGAGGATTTTGGCTTAAGGAAGAAAAGGTGTCATAGGCTTCTGAGGGTTGAAGGTTTGGGAGTTGTTGAGGGCTTTGGGATGTAGGGTTTTCGTGCCTCGGGAGGGGGGTTTAGGGTTTAGGGGGAGTTTGGGCGTAGAATTTCAGGACCGCGGCATGGGTTTGTTTCAGGTTGTAGGACTTGAGGTTGGGCGGATGTAGTTTACAGTATTCCGGTGGTCAGGGTTTCGCGTCTATTCAATTACTTGCGGACTCCCCCCAAACTGTAAACCGCGAGTGCTCTTGAACCCTCTAACCCCTAAAATTCCGTAATACTCAAACCCCTACAGAAAACTAAAAAGGCCCTAGCCAAAACCCTACAGAAGCCTGAAGGAAGCCCCGCAGGCTGCTAGAGATATTTGCGTTTAGGACGCTTGAAGAAACCGTACCCTGCGAGCCTTCAGGACATTGGCTCGAGTCACGCGACGCGCGCCGGGTTTAGGCTTTAGGTGTCGCAGCCCTGCCAAGGGACTTTGAGAGCTTAAACGCTGCCTGTCTCGGCTGATGCGATGCAGCATACATTCCCCAAAGGCTGAAGATCGAAGCCATCTTGTTTGTTTCGATTTCAAACGAACTAAACTAGATAAAGCGCAAAAGAAGGGAAACAAAAGAAAAAGGAAAGAGGGTTTGGGGTTTTAGGGTTTAGGGTTCAGGGTTCCACCCATCAGAGCCCGAAGTCTTAATTAACAATCCTTACACCCTGCAGCCTAAACCCTAAAGCCTATATATATATATATATATATACATACATACATACATACATACATACATACATACATACATACAAACATACATATAAATGTATATATATATATATATGCATATACATATATATATATATATACACATATACATGTGTATATATATATATACATGTATGTATGTATAGTTACGGAGGGATGCGGAGCCCAGACCCTTGAGC